CCCTTGGAAGTCGAAGCGGTAAGCGTAGCGCTTGCCGTGCACCTTGCTCATGATGTTCTTGTCGTAGTAATAGCGCAGCGCGCGGCTCAGCTTGTCGTAGTTCATGTTGGGCTTGCTCTTGCGCTCGCCCCAGCGCCGCGCCACCTCGTCAGGGTCCGTGAGCTTGAACTCGCCGTGGCCGCCCTCCCACGCGATGCAGCCGGCGTTGGCGCGGTCGGCTAGCAGCTCGAGCAGAAACTGCCACAGCTGGATCTGACCGCTGCCTGCAGGAAAGGGGACGGTCAGCCACAGGCCGATAGGAATGGCTGGAACTGGGGGAAGAGGGAGGCAGGAAACGGACAGATCCAGCAGGATCCCGTCGGGAGGGAAAGGGCTCGTCCAGCGGTGCAGCTGGTGCGGCTAGCGCAGCTGGTCGGGGAGGAGCAGATTAGCAAAGCAGGCACCAGCCCCACTTGTGCACAATGGAAACTCACTCCAACTTGGAGAAGGTAGCTATCCGGTCGCATTGTTTCGTGGGAACTGGGGGTATAGAAGGCGCTTCCTGTCCTCCACGGGGAGGGAGCAGTGAACCAAGGCCCTTGGCTGGAAGGTGACCACGGGACCGAGATAAGCCCCGAGTTCCTTCAATACCGAGGACCTATTCAGGACAGAGCGAGCACTGGGCTGCCCCGCGAAGGCGCAGGACGGCCCATCTCAATTGGATCTGGTCCAGAGATTCGGAAGGGAAGGATCAGGAGGGCGTTAGGATGACGGCGGCGGTCGCTACTGCACAAAGCCCAACAGTCCCTGGCACCCAGTGTCCTTGAACACCCTGTCAGGCGGGAATGGGGAGCAGAGGCCCAGGGTACTGGAGAGAACTCCCAGGGTCTCCCTGTCCTATCAGCTTTCAGGTGAGCAGAGCTCCGCACTGGTGCAGCTCCCTGCTGAGGCTCTGAGGGCTCTTTTCGGACCAGGCGGGATTCCCCGTGAGGGAAGGTGCCAGGGTTCCCTGGCGCCCCATGGACAGCGCTGGGGAGGGGACAGCGAACTGAGAAACATTTGTGCTGGACTTCAGCTCCGCCTGCTCTTGCCCAGTCTCTCTCCGGTTTTGGGGTTCCTGGAGGTGGCAAGAGGTCTTCCCCAGATATGCAGTCAGTGGAGGAGTTGAGGCCCTGGAATTCTTGCTCCCTTGTCTTGGAGCTCCAGGGGAGAAACGTCTTGATACAATCACCCCCACTCCCTTTGGAACAAAACGTATTTTCCTCTAGTTTGTCCAATTATTGGATCAAATCAAGTCTAGTGAACTCCTTTTCCTGTTCAGCCACTGGCCCAGAACCCAGAAGCTTCTTTATCCCATGATTTCAACTCTAATCCCCCCAAGCCAGACCCAGGTTGCCTGAGTTGAGTCTTAAAGTCAGAAGCAAGGGAAAGCTTGTGCTAAAAAACGTGCACCTGCCACCGACTGGCAACATCAGAGGCTTGGGAACCTGTCTGCTTGGGGTGTCATGTTCCCCTCTCTCTAGAAAAAGCAGCTGCCAACCTTGTCTTTTTGTGGCTTGTGACTTGGGGGGATCTAGAGTACTGACTAGAGTGGGGGCTACGAGGAGCAGTTGCCTGGAGGGTCTGCCGATGACAAGGTAATTTAGTGACCCTCCAGGCAGCAGCCAACCTAGGAACCCACATCAATTGCCTTCAGACTCCCAGGGCAGAGACGCCGAGTCAGTAGGCTCCCACGGTGAGCTCAGCAGGCGTTTTACCCGCTGGGCAGTCCCTACGACAGGGGAGTAATTTTCCTGGTTCTCTTGCTTGGCGTGCTGGGTCTGCGGCCAACAGGGAAAGGGCACTAAAGCGCCTCAGCCCTGGCCCCAAAGCTGGGTCATGTCATACAGCAGAAAAAGGTCTGGGGATGGAGTCCTCTCCCTAGGACTCAAAGTGCCCTGGGGCTCAGAAAATGCAAAAGCCAAAGGCGGAATAAATGTTTCCGCAGAGGCCTCCCCACATTTGGTCCTCTCTCCTGAGGTGCACACTACCCCCACCCTCTCGGTCAGGTGGTGGCTGGCTCCTGTTGAGGTCCCTGCCTCGGTCCCCACCCACTACCCTCACCTCCACCTGCCCAGCGCCAGGGCCAGCTCACCTTTCTGCACTGCGGGGCTCAGCGGCCCCCAGCTCGTGCTTTTCCCTTCTTTGAAGAGACCGTCTCCGACAGGATCTGCAGCCGCAGAAGAAAACAGTCATGTAGACCCGGGGCGGAAGTTGTGGGCTTGACCGAAAGGGCCTCGGGCCAAGTCTCTAGGGGGCTGCTGTGTTCTGGGGGCCCGGGCCACCCAGCTCCTCCTCCCGGAGCCCAGCCCCGGCGCGCGCTGCGCGGAGCCCCTCCGTAGCGCCCAAGTCAGGAAACGCGTCCAGGAAAAAGGAAATCCGCTTTCCGAAGGGGCCGGCTGGAGCCTTATAAAGCCGAGCCGGGTTTGAGCCAACCGAGCCTGAGCGAGCAGAGCCCCTCGAAGCGGAGAGGAGGGCGCGTGGAGGGCCTGGCCGGTGCGAACACTCGGGGCGAAGGTGAGGAGCTGGAAGGGCAAAGGCGCGACGCCCGGCGGACCCCAGTCTTCCCGCTCCTGACCCGAGCGAGCGGCGTTCTCCACCACATGAAGACCCCGACCGGGCTCACCTGGGCCCCTGAGCCCCCGCCTCAGCCTCCCAGGCTCCCAGCCTGCTCACCTCGAGTCCTCTAGACCCTACACTGAAACCCCGGAGCTCTTTATCTGCCGTTTAGGTTTTCCTGCATGCCCTAAACTGCAGTCATTCCTCCACCCGCGACCTGACTGTCCCGACTGTATCCCCTTCCTTTGGACCCCTTCTCCAGGTCCGGGTTTAGATTCCCGCCCAGGGTCCTGGTGCCTCCAGCCCCCGCTGGTCCCTGGTACCTGGCAGGTACATGTTGATCAGCAGGGGCTGGGAGGCGCCGCTCTGTCTCATCGCTGCCGGGGACTGGGCGGTGGGCGATGGGGGGGACGGGGAAGGGGGGGTGCGTCAGGCTTTGCGCTTCAGGGGCACCGATCCCCGCCCGAGGCGACCGCGGGTGACAGGGAGGAGAAGACAGCGCGGGTCCAGCAGGGCCTGGCAGGAGGGGGCAGCCCGGGTGTGGCGGGGGACTGGAGGGGGGGATGGTTCCTGGAGCGACGCTCCCAGCTACCGGGCGCTTGGAACCCTCTGGTCCCCGCTCGGGCAGGGGCCGCAATTTCCGTTTTAATTAAAGTGCGGCCGTCTCAGCCCCCCGGACCCCGCCCCCGCCCCTCTTATCTTCCCATCGCAATAAAGTCTCCGACGCGCAGTGCCACAGCCAAGCGCACCCGGCAGCCCCCTGCGCCCCGCAGCCCGGGAGACGCGCGGGGGATGGGCCCCAGCCGCGCCCTCGGATGGGGGCCGGGAGCGCGTTGCTTTTCCGCCTCCTCGACTCTGCAAACAGCGATGGGGCGAGGGTACCTGGCTCCACTACGGACCCCAAGGCCACATCCCCTCCCCAGAGCCCTCCTTCCAGCGCGCTCCCGCCCCTCTCGCTGCTCACTCTCTTCCCCTGCCCCTCCCGGGTTCCCGTCTCCAGGCTGCGTTATCTGCATCTTCACTTTTAAATTTCCGCTTCCCTCCCTCTCGCCTGTCGCGGCGCTCCCGGCCCTGCAGCCGTTGCTCCCTTTATCTCCCCCACCCCGCCCCGCCTTCTCCCTCCTCCTCCTTCCCCACTCTACCCTTCCCTGGAGACTCCATCCCCTGCCCTGTCTCCCGCTCTTTGCTTTCCCGGTTTCCTGACTCCCTACACACACCCCAGGCCGGATGCTGGGGCTTCTCCCCTGGCAACTTCTCCTGGATGTCCCTCCTTTCCCCTCCCTGCCCTTTTTAGGTCTCTTCCGGCCCTCTGGTCTCCGCCTCTTTTTTCTCCTGCACACATCACCCCTGCAGCCTGCCCCTACCCGCTTTCTCATTCTTTGGGTTCCCACAAACTGGTTGTGGCCCAGCCTACTCTCGGGGTTCAGAGCCCTGACAGCGTGTGCTGGCTTTTCCTGGCAGGCTCCCGACAATTCCCCTGCAAGTATTCATCTTCCACCCTTGCCCATTCCCCACCATCCTAGTCTGTCCACCCTCATCTCCACCCCTACGCTGGTTATCCCAAAGCCCAGCTCTAGAGGTACAGAGGTTGAGTTAGGGTTGTCTACTGTACATGGCTTTTCCTCGAATGCCAAGAGAGGCTAGCCTGGCATCTCCGGGTACTTGTGGGACTTCCTGACACTGCAGAGGTGGACTAAGGAGGGATGTTACTGATGTGGGGCCCAGGGTCAGAAGCCCACTTTCTGCAGCCATGCAGCACACCCAGTGGCTCCTGTCAGACTGGATATCTCAAGGACCTTCTCCCTGCTGGAGCCCAGGGGTGAGGAGGCCTGAGAGTGGGTGGGTCTCTTGTAGGGTGCCTGGTCCTGGGGTGCCTGGCTAGCTGAAAGTCCTACTCCCAGAGTTCTGCCATCCTCTTCTACCTTCACTTGCTACACTGCTGACCTGCTCATCTTTGCTGGTGAATGGTCCAGAGGAGCCAGAAAGGACAGTGGCTGGTGGAGTCTGACAGGGGGACACAGAAATCCCAGGACCCTAGAGGACCCTAGGAGGACAGGAATGGGAACTTCAGGCTCGGACTTGGAATCTGGCAGGAGCAAAGATAAAGGCTGGGATGTCCCCTGAGGACTAACCTCAGGACTCCTCAGCAGGTCTGTCTTGTGCTCTCCGGCTGCTTCATGCAGTGTCTTTGACAAACAACGATCAGCAAGAGGTAGGAGCTGGGGGAGCCCAGAGACATGGAGGTCCACGGTGGGTGGCGGTGTATTGTCCTCAGGGGGTGGCTGAGGGGAAGGGAGAGATGCTCAGAGAGGAGAAGGGCTCTCCCCAGAGCAGGACAGGGATCAACAGCCTGGGTTTGGTGCCCAGCCTGGCTGCGGACTGAGGTGCTGAAGGAAAGGGGTGCTGGCAAAAGTGCATGTGTGTGTATATGTGTGTGTGTGTATATGTATGCGTGTGTGTGTGTGTGTGTGTGTGTGTGTGTGTGGTCTCCTCATTCTACATGGATCGTGACCTCTCTTTCATCCCCTCCTACCCTAAGGGCAGCTAAGGTAGAAACCAGTGAGAGTCCTTACCAGTTTCCCTTCCTCCCTCTCCTACCTGGCTGGGTCTATGAACAATCAGCCTACCCAGAACGGAAGGAAGAGCTGGAGGTGAGAACACTCAGGCCTGGCTGGCCCCTTGGACTCCCATTCCTAGCTGCCTATGGATGTGGGGTGAAGAGCCTGACTTCTGGGGCCAGGAAAACCAGAAAGATCCATGCTAGCAAATATTACCTCCCCCAAGTCCTTCATCATACTGGGGAAAACTGAGACCCAGAGGCCATGTCCTGAGCCATTTTGTTGATTCTTCCCAGTGACCAGACATGCCTGGAGGTCGGGCAGCTCAGCAGAGGGCAGATAATGCTGATCTTCCTTTGTCCACTGCCTACTCCCAGAAGAGACAGGGGAAGATGAGCTGCTGGACTCTGGGTTCTGGGTTAAACTCCTAGCTCCCTTGTTTCCTACTTGTGTGACTCTGAGAGAAGTCACATGACCTCTGCGGTGTACTTTAGTCTCCTTATCCGTAAAATGGGGATTGCAATACCTGAAACCAGGATTATGAAGTTTATATAACGTAGGTGAAGTGTGTAGGATAGGTTATACATACTTAGCTGCTGTTTTTTGTTTGTTTGTTGTCTCACTATGTAGTCCAGGCTGACCTTGAACTCACTATGTAGCCTAGGCTGGCCTCTGACTCACAGCAATCTGATCCTCCTGCCTCAGCTTTCAGCCAGCAAGCCCAGTGCCACACTTAGCTATTGTTTTTTTGTTTGTTTGTTTGTTTTGAGACAGGGCCTCACTGTGTAGTTCAGTCTGTCTTCAAACTCACAGTGATCCTCCTGCCTCAGCCACCATCCTCCCTCCCATCCCCCACCCCTGTGCTGGGATTACAGGCGTGCACCTCCATACCTGACCATACTTAGCTGTCCTTAACGTTACTGTTTCCCAGTGGGATGGAGAGGGGTGTGACAATCCAGGAAGCCCACATTTCTCTAGGGCCAACAGAAGCTTTGCGAGGTGCTAAGCCCTGAGACTTTTAAGAACAGCTCGGGTAAGGCCTCTACTTAGCCTGAATTTTTGTTGTTTTGTTTTGTTTTATTTGAGACAAGGTTTTGCTATGTAGCCTAGGCTGGTCCTGAACTCACTACGTAGCTCTGGCCAGCCTTGAACTCTCGATGATCCTCCCACCTCAGTCTTCCAAGTGCTGGGATTACAGTTTGTGTCACTACACCTGGCCAGCCTGGGTTTTGCATCAGGATCTCTGGGTTCAAATCTTAGTTTTCTTTTGTTTTTGGTACTGGGACTCTAACAACCTCACATTTGCCAGGCAGGCGCTGTGCCACTGAGCTACATCCCTGGCCTGGGTTTGAGTATTGGCTTGACATTTGGTGCCATCATCAAGCCCCAGTTCCTTCATTAGTGAAACAATGAAGAATGGAAGGTGTTAGGAGGCTCCAGGGCAACACAGGACTGTACAATCCATTCAAATGTAAAGCAGGATTCATTCTCCACATAGCACTCTGTCCTTGGTCCCCTGACCCAACCCAAGACCCATGGGAGGAAGGGGAAATAAGGGCCCTGCACCGACTGCTCCCCGAGTGCTCTTCCATACCGCAGACGGTTTCAAGGTTTTCTCAGTGAATGCTCACAGTAACCCCTTGAGACACACAGGCAGGGATCAGTAGCCCCAGTTTCCAGGTGAGAGAGGCTCAGGGATGTTATTTGGGTTCCAGGTGTTTTGACTTATGGCCCAGGTCTCTTCCCAAAGGGGCAGCTGCCCAGCTTCAAGTCTATGTCACCCTGCCTTACCTGGGCTAGGGCAGTGGTCTGCGCCACCCCTCCCCACTGGGGTCTTGACAACACAAGAATCCCTAAAGGACAGGATGAGGGGCCTCCAAAGGACCTCAGGAGGCTCTGCCTATATGGGGGTAGGGGTATCATTAACTGTGTCGGGGGAAACCACACCAAGGGCTCCGATAGCTGCTGCCATGCTCAGCCTTGCCATGGCTTGAGTTCTGCTTGCCTGTCCTCAGGAGGGTAGGGAGAGAAAGGAAGAATGAAAGGGGGGTGGTTTGGAACAGCAGAAATGGAGGGTATGAGTGGACTTCATTTGTGAGTGCTGGAGCTAAATATGCAAGGGACTGTTGTTTTGACAAAGGGCCTGGAGGTCAGGTTTAGAGAGCGGAAGTCTCCCCCTTAGAAGGCAATGAGATCTCCCACTAGTTTCTCTCCTGGGAAGGGAGGAAAGGGAATATTGAAAGAGGCTGGCAGATGCTGTGGTTGGGCAGGGCACCAGAGTGAGGATAACAGCTGAAGATACTCTGGACATTAGGGGGGAACCTGACAAAGCTTCTGCATAGGGCTGGGAAAAGTTTGCCCTGCATGGTGGTACCTGGTCCACAGGGTGTGTGGAGGTTGACGTCCAGCAATGAGCCCTGCTGTGGATGTGTATCTACTCTGTCTGCTATCTGGGCTTGTGGAATACCTGGTCCATGTTGGTAGGGGTGGAGAGATTGGTTGCATTTAATAGGCTCCCCATGAGATTCCAACCAGCAATTTCTGCTCATTCCCACCAGAGCCTACCCACATCCATCGTAAGTTAGTTTATGCTTTATAAACAAGGGTCCTGGATCCTGAAAGGAGGGTCAGGTTGAGATCTTCAGAAGGATGAGAATGTAAATCACAAAGCGAGACACAAAGGAGGCAAGAGGAGCAGCCAGATTCAGGATCCTTTATTGATGGCCTTCAGGGGAGGTGACTGGGGCCATGGAGACTAGTGCTGGACTCTCCGAATGGACTGCAGCTGCCCAGTGTGGGCCTGCGTCCCAAACTCGCTGTAGTTACGGAACTCCCCGCTGTGCCGGTCCCGCTCCAGTACATACTGGTAGCCCCGGTAACCTGGGTACTGGTAGGCCACCCACCTAGCCAGTGAGGAGACAGGAGTGAGAAGTAGGTTCTGCCCCACCCCACCTGTGTCTTCCCTTGGTAGACCCCCTTCTCAGCTCCCAATGCCCAGCTCCAAAACCACTGCTTCTGCTTGCCCTACCTGGATCCCCCCTGCCCTGCCTGCTGCTCTGGGTTTTCCAAATACCTGCCTCATCCTGTCTTCCATTTGCACCTTCCGCTGCCTCCTCACCCATGTTTTCAACCCCTCGTTCCACCCTATCTTGCCCCCGCTTTCTCCATGACCTCCTCTCCCTCTCCATCCCCTCACTTCCCCCAGCTATCAAGTCCCCAAAATCTCTACCATGTTTCTCAGCACCCTCCCTTCAGGCTTCCCCCTCACCTCCCTCTCTCATCATTCCCCCTTTTCCTCTTCTGGGCCCAGGACTCACGCTCCAGAGCTGACTTTGAGGGAACCCACATCCTTGCTGGCCCAGCCCATGGAGGGCAGGGATGGGTAGTCATCACTGAGTTCGAACTTGCAACCCTGGAAGTTTTCCCCCTCAAACAGTGTCACGCGGCTGTCACTGTGATTCTGGAGCACAGAAAGGAGAGGGGTCAGAGAGGCCAGGCCTCAAAGGGGTGATAATGGTTACATCCTCAGCCCCACTCACCTCACCCCCTTTTCAGCACAAGTTGTGCAGCTTCTCAGGCCCCATAAACACTCCCCAAGTTCACCCCATCGGTTTCCCAGTAGTCTTACAACCCGGGGTGCTCAGGAGCCCCACCTGGCCACTCCCTTGACTTTGAGCTAATATGGTAAGATTAGAAGGGTCCCAGAGATGCTTTCAAGTCAATCCTAGAGCGTGTCTTGTGACATGGGTGCGTTATTTGGAGGGAAATGAGAGAACTGTGTAGTCCATTAACCAAGACAGTTTCCTAAGGATCTCACTCACTGCTCGATCCCCCTGCCCAGCACCCTGGACACATTCTCCCACAGAACCGCCCAGCTAAGGGTCAGCAGAGTCGGAAAGACAATCCAGGGCACCACTATCGGTTGTTACCTGGCTTGTCCCTACCTCCCCCTGCAGTAGGTCTCAACATTTTGGAACAGAAAAGCTGGACGGGGCTGGATCTTCTGCCTTCCACCCTAGCCCCAGGCCTCACCAGCACTAAGTGACCACAAATAGAAATAAAAAATCTTCCTCTCAGTGTTTTTGATGCAACCCCCCCAACACACACACGGAGACAATGGAACCTCCTCTCACCTTCGATCCCTGGACTGAGTTCTAATCTCACCCTCATTCTGACCTCTGTAACCACCAGAAGTTTCATTGCCCTGCAGAGGTTATTTCCACATCTGTATGTGGAGCTAACAGCGAGGGCACGGACCTTCCACGGCTGATGATGGGGTGGGGTGAATTGAAGGATCTTGGGCGCTCGTAGAAAGGCTGCCCTTTGCCTCTGTCCGTGGTGCTGACACCCAAGCGCCTGGCCTACGCCCACCAACCCACTTTTTCCCAGACTCTGCGGGTGCTAGGAAGTAATGCCTGTCTAAAGTTTGTTTACACGCTCCTGTGCGCTGGCAATGACCTTAGTGGGGCACCAGGGCAGGGCTAGGGCCTGGGGCCAGGAGGCAGGGGAGAAGGGGAAGTGTTCTGGGCTCACCGCGCACAGAACTGGCCGGAAGGACAGCAGCTGGGTGCTGGGGTGGCCGCTGCTGCCGCTCCAGGCGCTCCAGCGAGGATAGTCTCCCTTTTCCAGAATGAACTGCTGGCCCTGGAACTCGGGGTATTCAAAGGCCACCCATCTGGAAAAGAACGGGAGCTACGAGGGCTGTGCCCGGCCCACCCCTTCCTTGCCCTTGCCCTTTCCTGTTGAGGTTGAAAAGACCGGGAAACCCCAATCTGTTTCTCCAGCCCCAGGCCCTTTCCCTGACTCACCCAGCGCATGGCAGTCGGCCCTTCTAGAGGCTGAAGCTCCTAAACTGATTGCTATCGGGGCTCTGAGGGACCCAGGTTCCCCAGTCAGGGGTCCCAGATTGGAAGGAATTTTTCAGGTTACAATCATCCCACTAAGTGTTCCCACCTTACAGATTCAGGCACCGGCATATGGAAGCATCGACACCCCCCCCCATTGCAGGGAAGAAGCTCCCCCTCTGCTCAGGGCCCCAGGTTGGACCCCAGGAGACCAGAGTGGGGCCAACGGGAGGGTTTTGGCGTCTTTTCTTGACCGAAGCGCAGAACCATCTAACCGCACAGAGAAAAACTTTGGGAAGGACTTTACGCTGGAGCCATGGGTTATTTCTCGCCTTTGGCCCTTTAGCTCGCACGAGGACATTCCCTTCCCCGCGATTTGCCTTGCGACAGGTGGGGACTTTTGGAGAGGCCAGGCCAAGGGTTTTCCTATATTGAAGAGTCTTTCTCGGAGTTCACAGGGCCTGGATCTGAGGTCCCAGTCTCCAAAGCTGGGCTGGGGGAGCCCGGCACAAAGCAACTCAGCCCAGCCACAGCCGGGTGATCACTCACGCGCCGTTTTCCACCTTGACGGAGCGCACCCTGCTCAGGCCTCCGCGCTCGCTGACGTTCGCGCAGTCGCTCAGTAGCCGGCAGCGACGGCCCTGGAAGTCCTCCTCGTCCCAGAGGGTGAGGCAGGCGGTCGCCGGGCCTGGCGCGGGGGCGCTGCTCATGCTGCTAAGAACAGGAAGGGCGAAGCACGCGCTCAGCTCCTGAGAGCCCCTTGGCTAAGCCTGCCCAACCCCGGGAGAGTGTGAAGGACCCGGAGGCTGGGCCCCGCCTGGCTCTGGACCCGGCTGCCCGGAGCTCTCCCATATCTCGCCCAACCCCGCCCCGGCACCGGGTATTCACCGGGTGGTGAGCGCGCACGCTAGGAAAACGGAGAGGCTGCGCGCGCGCCGAGCCCGCAGGGCTTTATACCAGGGCCTCGCCCCCGCCGCGCTCCCCCTCCCGTCGCGGTGGAGGGGCTGAGTCAGCGGCCCGGCCCCAGCGCCCCTGGTCTCCCCGGGGAGCCGAGGCCTTTCCCGAAGCCGCCAACCTGGCCCCAGCCCACGGGGATCACAACGGAAAGTGCTGAGGCGCACATCGCGAGCCGGCGGGGCCCGCGCTGACTCCGCGCTTTCTTTCTCTGGGGCCTGACCCGGCAGGGCGCACCCCGCCTCGGGGCAGAACGCGCCCTCCCTGGCCCAGACAGCCAGACCCGGGGGAACCAGGCCTCCCCAGAGCCCCAAATAAAACCGCGCCTTGGGGCTGGGGATTTAGCTCAGCGGCAAAGCGCCTGCCTGGCAAGCGCAAGGTCGTGAGTTCGGTTCCCGGTACCGGAGAAAAACCAAAAAAAAAAAAAACCAAAACAACAACAACAAAAAAAACCCGCGCCTTGCAGGACACGTCGCGGGAGTCCTTCCCAAGCCTTAAACGCCGCCTGTTTCTCAACCCGAGGTCGAAGCCTCATTTTTAAGGAACCTAGGGCAGAGGTAGAAAAGGCTCTCCCCAAACGACTCTCCTCGAGCTCCTAAGTCCTCTTTCCCCTGCAGGATCGTCTGTCGCGGCGTCTTCCCTCCCAAGCGTGGTCTCCCAGATGGCGCTCAGCATTGGTGAGTTTTCTCGCCCCTGCCGAGAGGAAGCGGTGACCAAGACCGGCCGCTAGGCGGCGGTAAACTCAGGAAATGAACAGCCTGAGCGAAAGCTCCAGTTTACAAAGCGTTCGGGAATAATAGTAGCAAAGGGAGGGGCTAAATGCGGTAGGAAGGGTTTCTCACCCTTACCTCCTTCCTGACCCGCGACGGTGCCAGGTCCCCCAAGAAGCTCCAGGGTCTGGGGTCCCCCGTCCTGACGTCTGCTGGAGAGCTATCGGCTATTACTGAGTGCTTGGTTCCAGCCAGGCTCTTGGTTCAGGCTTTCTCGGCTAAATTCTAACATGGCCCCGTGAGGTGCGCGCTGTCACTGTCTTGCAATGGCCTGAGGAAGAAGTGAGGCCCAGGCGGGGTCCAGGATGGGGTCAAGGTGTCACAGCTGAGAAGTGGCTCAGCTGAGATGAGAATACTAAGCTCCTGCCTCCACTGCCCCAGTGCAAGGCGCTGAGGGAGAGAGGACAGGGGGACAAGGACAAGGACAAGGACAAGGCTTGCAGCTCCAAAGAGCAGCCCCAGGAGGGAGATTCCTCACCACCTGCAGCAGAGTACCCTAGCCACTGTAACTGCCCTTGAGACACAGGCTTCTTGCAAAATGGCCAGCGAGTGTTCCTCCTGGGTGGTGGGGTGGGTAAGGGATTCTGGCAGTACCGTGAGGAGTAAGTGTAAGGAAACTATTATTTTCTGCTGTCACGAGCCACATGCTTCCTTAATAGACCCATAAGAACCCAAGGATGTTGGTTTGCAGTACAAATGCCGAAACTGAGGCCTGGGGACATGCAGGCCCTTGGCCAAACTCGTACAGCTATTCTTCCAAGCAAGAGTAGAACTCAGACTTTCTGAACCCAAAGCCAGAGCTCTACCACTACCTGTCCCAATTCCTGTGCCCGAAAGAGCTCACAGATGCAGCTGCTCTAGCCCTGAAAGCCTAGTCACAGCCTGGCCTATCATTTCTCCCAGTCTGTGGGGCTCATTCCCACTTCAGAGCCTTCATATGTGCTGGTTTCATTCCCTAGAAGGTCCTGGTCACAAGATCTTGGCATGGCTAGCTCCTTTGACACCTCCAAGGGGATGCTGTCCCTGGCACTCTTACCATCTGTCACATCTCTCTGATTCTCTCCAGAATTATCCCTCTGTAAAACTTGTCCACCTTGTATTGATGGGTGTATGACGGGCTCCCTTACTATGGTGTGCGTTCCTTTCAGAAGCATCAGGACCTTGTCTGACTTGTTCTCCATTGTTCTGTGTGCTGGATACGTAACAGGGAGGCCCTCAATAAAACCTTCAGAGAAAATGAACAAGATGGTCAACTGTGGTTTAAGAGAAGGGATAGACAGGAAATTCTCCAGTGGGAATGGAGTGACGGTTTACCTATACTATGAATTCCTGATGTTTTGGCATCCTGAGAACAGGCACTGGGATAGGCAGCGCCTCCCTTGGACCTCTCTTTTCACTGGTGAGAAATTGCTACTGGGGCTCACATTCATGAAGGTGGGTGCCCTAGAACTGAGCATAGGGTAGAGTCCATGTTAGAAAGACGTGGGTCAGAGATGAGACAACCACCACTGGGTTTGAATGTGGATGGCAAGACTGGTACCCTCTCTACTGGAGAGGGGCTAGACGAAAACTGTTGGGTATAATTTCTACCAAGTGTGCTAAACATGGTGGCACACATCTGTAATCCCCACCCTTGGGAGGCTGAGGCAGGAGGATCATCTGGAGTTCAAGGCCAGCCTGGGCTACATGAAGACCCTGTCAAAAAAACCCTAGAACAATTTCCACCAAACCACAGGGGATACAAAATACAGAGTTGGGCAAGAGCCAGTCCTGGACCCTCGGTGTCCTAGCCTTTGCTGTCAATTTCACAAGTCAGGCATCAGGCAGGCATGAAGCACAAGAAATCAGATCTCACATCCCCTCCGCCCCTATTTCCATCCGACAATTGTGGATTCGGCCACCAGGGGGCGCAACCAGACCGCGCTGGGCCCAGTACCGGCCCGGGTGGGGCGAGAATTGGTGGGAGGCTGAGGGGAGGGGGGAGCGGGCGACAAATGCGTCAGGCTGTGCGTGCACGCTGTCTGTGACGCTGCTGGTTGTCAGTCTCAAGGCTGTACGGTTCTGCCCTGGGGTCTGGGCAGGCGGTTCGGGCCTGGAGGTGGGGGTAGGGATGGGGTGGGGGTGGGAGCGGCTTTCGGTCTGCGTGTTGGTCATAAGACAGTATTCAACCAGAGTGGTGGGGGCATGCGCGGTGTATTCAGGGAGGGGGCTGGGGAAAAGGTTCTGTGGCTGAGCTCCGGGTTGGAATGAGGCATCCAGCTGGGCCTGGTACCGGCCTGTAATCCCCGTACTATGGAAAATTGAGGTAGGAGGATCGGAAGTTGGAGCTTGGCCTAGGCAATTTAGGGAGACACTAACTTGAATTAAAAAAAAAGGGGGCGGGCAGGGATATAGCTCAGTGTGAAGACCCCGAGTTCAATCCCCAGTACAACGCACACACTCCCACCCCCACCCTCACCGCCACCCCTACTCAAAGGCGTTCAGCTGGGTTTTGGGGTGGGCTCCAGAGTGTGAGACTCACACACACACACACACACACACACACACACACACACACCCTAATCTTGACACCAGTCAGCCTCTGGTCTCTCTGCCATGTTTTCCTCCTCAGGAAGATGGTAGGGAAGCTCCGTCCCCCACATGGCTTTTAGCTGTAGCTGTCTGCAACCTGCTCACTCACAAAGGGTCCACCGGCCCACACTGCCCACTGCCTCCGGAGCCCTGCATCTTCCCGGCCTCACCACGGCTCAGTCGCGCCGTCACCAAGAAAGGGAAGCCAGGAAGGGCTGTTCGAGCGGCTGTGGACCCCTCCCAGTCTCCTTTCTCCACCAGGCCAGTCCGCTCTGCATCCCTCAGCCTCCCCCTTGGACCCCTCAACCCGGCAGCTGTTCCTGTTTGTTTTCCCAGATCAGTTGCGCCCCAAGCTTCCTGAAGGATGGATGCCCAGGTGGCTTTGTTTGCCAGCTTAGCACGGTTGCCCTCACCCCCTCCGCACCCACAAGCGTGATGTGGAGAGCGGGGAGTTAGAAACACTCCGCATCCTCAGAGCGATGCCTCAGGGACATGTCAGCTCTCACAGGAACCCCATCCTCAGAGAACCCCCACTCAGACACCATCCAGCCCTTCCTCTCAGACAGGAACCTTTGGATGGAACAGAGAACCCTTCAGGACCCCACCCTTCCCCCAAACAACCATCACACAGACTGTACAGAGAACGCCCCAGGGCCTGCACAGCTTGAGTCCCGGAACCCAGCCTGACTCGCCCGGGTGGAGGTGTAAAGAAACCTTCAGTCTCGATCTTGAGCCCCCACTCACACCTCTGTCCCAGATAAAGGCCGAGGGAATCCGCAGAGAAGTGACACCTCCCCCGCGGAGAGCCCCACCCCAAGGATGGCCCAACTTCTGGGTACTGCGGCCAGCTTAGAGGTCCTGGTGCCCATTGTCCTATCCTTGAGGTGGCCTGCCCTGCCTTCCCCTCATTTCACTAGAAAATCATCCAGGGCTTTGGAGACTGAAAATGCAAATTCAATGAATGGTGCCCTCTACCACCCAGATCCTATCGCGGGCCCCTCCTTTCCAACTCTGCTCCGCCCAGCCCCCCAGTCTGGAACAGGCAGATGAGCTCCTTCCCTGGGGCTGTGCAAAGCTGGTCTCCCGGGAGACAGAGATAACACCCAGCAGAGACCAGCCAGGTTCAGGCAGGCTCAGGAGGGAGCCCCACCCGCCCAGACCCATTGTCCTGGCCCACCAGAAACCAAGCCCCTCTTCTGTGACCCTTAGTGAGTTTGGGGAGCTGGCCACCATCCAGGGAGATGGGAGGCAGCTTCCACCACCACACCCTCTCCTCTCCGGGATCCAAGGCCACAGGGCTCACACAGCGAGGCAGGGAGAGGACACACACATTCGCAGTCAAGTGGAGACAGAGTCATGCGGTTACAGCCACGTGGATACTGTCCCACGCACCCCACATGTGAACAGCCGAGTTTTCGAATTCAAGACACCTCAGTGTCATATTCATCATGGGCAGACACTTGTTCGCTTACTTATTCCTCAAATATTTAATAAGATGTATTATGTGCCGGAGGCCCTATGGGGTGTTTGGCTCACATTCGAGCATGCCCTCTTGCCCTTCTATGTGCACACATGCCCATCCCATGGTCACCCACAGGGATCCCATCTTAGCTACCCGGTCACCATCACACGGGCACCAAAGGACTAAGAGGGCAAGCTTCGTAGCCTTGCTGGTGCCTGGATTCAAATCCCAGCTCCACTGCTTATAAATTGGATGATCTTCCCTGCTACTTCTCAGTTTTCCCCTCTGTAAGATGGGAATAATTACATTAAAGATTTATGAAGATTTAAGTGCACATAAAGCGCAGAACTGCCTGGCAGCAGGCACCCAACAAATACCAAGTGTATGCAGTCCCCGCTGTATTCACAGCTGTAACTGCTTTTGTCACATGGTGCTCATCACCACCATCTCTGGCTGGGTTGTGGGGGTGGGCAGGACAGCAAGGGACGCTCTGGGTGCCTCAACCCCTGGAGCTGCTGGAGCTGGCGACCAAAGTCTGGCAAGGTCAGGGCAGTGTGGCCATTTCCCTAGTTCTTGCTCAGGCCTCTGCTCTCCAGGAAAGAACTCTGGGGAGTGGAGCCAGGGACCTGGCTCCTGCCGCTTTTCTTGGCTCCATCCATGGCCTTTGGCCAGTCACTCCCTGCTCTTGGGGCCTCAGCTTTTTGCCTGTAAACTAAGCTGGCGGCTGATCCTGGAGGGGCCTCCAGGCCCTGCCTGCTGTGATCCTGTGATGCCTGGGGGAAGCCTTCCTCCGCTCCCCATCCAGCCGCTGGCCCCACCCAGCCACCCACCTGGCCCAGCCAGAGCGAGGGGGCGGTTTCCCTGCGGTCTCCATGGGGACTAATCTCCAAGAAGGTCATCGAGGCTCTGGTACTGCCTTGGCTGCATGGGGATTAGCACCTGGGTATGAACTGTGCCCCCCCAGCCCCACAAACACTGGGCAGCCTCCAAGCCCAGAAGTTCCAAGGCCAGGCCAGAATCAGGGAGCGGGTGGGGGCAGCACAGCTGCCCCAGATGTTGATCTGTCCAGCTTTGACCAAGAAGGGAGAGCAACAGAGTCAGCTTATTGCCAAGCACAGCCCTTGGTGTCCAGCTATGGTGTAGGCCTTGTCCTTTCTCACCTTCTGGTCTTCTCATGGGAGAGCAATGGGCTCCCTATGCAGGGACATCACCAGCCACCCCACCCCATCCCTGGCTGTGCACATTTGCAGCTCACCTCTATCTGCTGAGGGTCATTTCTGCACCACAAGTGCTCCCACTGCCTCCGCACACCTGGTGCCTTCCACCGCTGGTGGCCCAGGCTCTAAGACCCTGTTCTCTCACACTGTTCCTACGTGCCCCTCTCTGCACCCCTTCTCTGTGTTCTCTGTCTCTGCCCTCACTGGACAGTGCGTGCAGGGTGAGGGGGGAATGGATCTCCATCTCCTTGTGCTTCTCATGTGGCCCTGGGTGGCACCGTCTATCCTTCTGGCTGTGTTCTCAGGCCCCGTTCTCTTCTCCCCCTGCCCCGACCATTTTTCCTGCCTTTTCCCCACTACCCCCTGCAGCTGCTGTACCCCAACTGCTCAGTCCCCTTTCCTCTTCCCCACAAGCTGTGCCCTCCTCCAGTGGGTGCTGACAGGGATGACAGGAAGCAGACTCTGGCTCAGAGTGGGAGGAGGAGGGGCCACCCGCACGCCAGCTGCTGAGCACCCCCCCCAGCCTAGCACCTGCAGGGCTACCAGGCGCCCAGAGACTCCACCCAGTCCGGCAGGGGAGGAGGGACCTGGAGGAGAGGCCGTGTCCCAGGTACTGGCCAGGAAATGTGGGTCTCAGGGATGGGATGGGGATGGAGGTCGGGGGAAATCAGGCCTTGGTGGGGGTGGGGGCGGTGGTCTCCACCATCAGGGCAGACCCCAGCCCTCCGAATGACCTCATTCTTCTAACCACTCTCCCTCCAAGGACTGCTCCTATGTGTGTTGGGGGACTTCTATGGGGAGATCTTTTGTGGTATGGCCCCAGGGTTTGAAATCCCAGACCCTGCCATCACTGGGGGAGAAAAGAGGACACCCTTGAAGACATAGGAAAAATGTGTCCAGCTGGGCCAGGACAGGTGAATCACTCAGGGCCAGGCAAGGAGAAAGGGCTGGGCCCAAGGACAGAAGGCTGTCCAGGAAGGCCAGGATGGGGGCTACACACAGCCCGTGGGGACCGTCATCTTTCTCTGCCCCTGGGGCTGCCCCAGTGAGAGAGCCCCCTACAGTCTACCCTCTCCCCAGACCCACCTGGGATCCATCAGAGCCATCTCACCTGCCCTTCCCTCCTCCTCCTGGGACTCAGTAGATTCTTGGGGACCTCAGGGCAGCTGGGTGAGGGGGACTAGTGGAGTGAGTGCTGGTAGGTGGGACCCCCAGGATCATTCCATCTGAAGTGACTTCTGACCCTGGGGGTGGTCTCTGCCTGGCTGGGTACATGTGCCCTTGTCCTAAGGGAGAACTGGGAGTCCTTCCTGCTGTCCAAGGGAGCCTTCTGCAGCCGCCACCCTCTGACCCACAACCAACTGGCCCTGTCTCCTCTGGGGCTGGCTCAGTGTCACCATACCCTCTGGGGAGGGGGACTGGGGGAAACCAGTAGTCACAGGATGAAGACTCAGCCTGATCCCAGGCCTTGTGCGGAGCCCTGAGCTCTGAGCTCTTCAAGCAGGAGGCCAGGGCCTGGGGCAATCTCTGCGTCCCTTCCCATAGGCCAGATCTCAGCCCTCTGGTTGGGTAGCTGGAGGGGGCTGGCCTGTCCTAAGTTTGGGTTGTGGCTAATGGGCCCCAGTCCACCCCAGCTGGCTGAATAGAGGAGGTGTAGGGTGTAGAGTTTGGGACTGCTGTGTCTGGGGTCCCT